ACAACATAATGGAGTTAAACAGCCCACTTATGGAGCAAATAAAACAAATTAGTCGCAACTTTACGCAAGAATCCCCATGTTGTACTGCGCAGTTGCAAAATGATGCCACAATGAGTGTGTTAAGCGAACTGACGTGATCACAAACACGCCAAGGAGTCTGTCAAGTATTCAAGAGCACCCACGTGAAATATGTGCTGACACAAAATCCACGCTATAAAGATATTCAACACCTGACGGATTTATTTCTCATAAATGTTTTATTTTTATCAATAAAACCGCAGGAATGTGAAATAAAGCTTTGCAGAAATGAAAGTTGCCAAGTAGATAAAACCCACATGCACGTGTTCACTGTGTTGTCACAAGAATTTAGTAGGAAACGGCACAAAACGTGAAGCACTATATTATGTTTGAAGTAGAGCATTTTTCTGCAGCGTCATGCACATGTGGGAGAACTCTGCAACCCATTTTCGACCAATTACACTGCATTACTTTTCATGCCACTCACCTGGCGTGAGAACAGTCTGGTGTTTTACAAGGAAGGCACAGGTCACAATAGAGCAACAAATTGTGCCTTGAGATACGAGTGACCCCATACCAGATTTATTTATTTATTTTTTGCTTTTCCTTGCGAGTGCAAACTTCAGATACAAGTGCTATATTGTGGCATCAAAGTCAACACGACCCACTTGACAAGAAGCAGTAGTTTGGCAGATAGTGAACAAATCTTAAAAGGGGGAAAAAAAACAAACAAGCATTAAGCTGTCTATAGCGCCACTCCCAGTTGAAAGGTACTAAACATCAAACAAAGCGAATGACATGCTGTGGAGTGAAAAAAGCAAACTAAAAGCACAGTTTCCCAATCCCACTCGGACCCGAGCATGCCCACTCATCTGCCGCACCGGGCGATTTTGCATGAGGGACTCTTTGCCATGTGAACTGTGCAAGCCTGGATCACCTTCTGAGGCTCCAAATACAAAATGTGTCTTGTACCATATCACTTTTTGGAATCCATTAAAAGATGGCGTGTCCGTCTAGGAAGACGCAGGTAGCAACAGAAAGAGTGCATGGAACAAAATAAAAGACTCAACTCAACATTATTTCAAAACAATCACCGCTGCATACAAAGTGCTGTACATGAAGTAAAAATCAGAGTGCTAAAAGCAAATGCAGTTAAAAGAATAATTGAATACATCAAAACAGACAACATGAACAAGATGAAAAAAATTGAGATATATTGACAGGCGTGGCTCACTCCCAGTAATTTGAATGTAACCCACACGGTGTGTGCACAGCTTGCATATATTTCTACCACAAGCTTTGCTATTTAATCCAAAAGTGCAAATGAAATTCTAAATATTGTTCAGTATTGTTGGAAAACAATATTTGTCCTGTATGTACATTATTCTTACTACTGTGTAGCGCGTGGTGGACGGCTGTGTCTTGCGCGCTTACAATCCAGAAATTGATTTGTTGCCTGGCTGAAAGCTTTGATGCATTTTGATTGGCCATAATTTGCGACGTTGCCACATCATGCACCGGTGTTTAAATTTTGAATTGCTGCAAAAATAGTCTCAGCCACTGGGATTCTGGTTGAAGTAAGCCATTGTAAACTAAAAAGAACATATTTCACGTTATTAAATGAACGTTTTGTCATCCTCACATGCTGCTGGAGGCAGAGCGCACTCCGCTCACATGAATTTCTCACCGCAGCCTGTCATCAGCAGCTTCTGCTTCAAACTGTTCACTACTGCCTGACGCACTGGGCTCCGTTATTCCGTTTTTGGGGCACTGTGCATAACCGAACTGCACATTTGAACAAAGTTCTGAGTTTCCGAATGGTAATATTGAAGCAGTGCGCCTGGAGCGTATGTCCGAATGCACCCACGATGAGGGAGCAGGGACTTTGAGGGCGACAAGCTCATGGTTCTTGGAAAACAAATGTGTCCTGAAGAAAAACAAAATGAAAAAGTCAACATTTTGTGACTTGTCTGACTCAGAAGGAAGACAAGTAGCAAGAAAACCCACAAAAGAGCAATGTAAATCTGCAATAGATCTAGTGATGAAAAGCCCTCGACAACAGTTATGGAACAGCTACAGTTAGGTAGAGGAGTCTTCTATCATATGTTCATGTCGATGATGATGATGATCCTCTTGCGGGTCTACGAGTTTGGGAACAACTTGGCTTTGAGCTTGTGCCTTCACGAGTGAATTGACTGCTTGTGAAATTGAGCCTGTTGTCTTTCTCAGCATGAGCAACAAATCGGCCTCCAGAGACAAAATAGTTAAGGTGCTTAGAACACACACGTGCGCACGCACACACACAAAATATGCAGTGATTATGCTCACCAAGGCATAAACATCACATAGTGTCGTCCAGTCTGTTTATGAGTCAATCTTATCTTGGCCAGAATTGTGCAGCGTATGTGCGTGTTAGTGAAAGTGTGATCAAGGGATTACAGTCTTATTCATGAGCGAAAACACAAACACCAATGCAGTCGTAATGGTTTGAGTGTTTTTCAAGAGGGGAATCTGTAAATTGTTATTATCCAGATTCTTTTCTCCACTATAATTATCATATTGTATCAAGACAGTTTGTCAGTTGATTAACGGATTCCTTGTCCTCATTGGGAAAAGCGCTCACGGTTGCAGTTGGTTACTGTGTTGGTAGTACTGCTAACATGCTACCTTCACTCAGTCACATTTACTTTACAAAGTACTCACTAGTTACTCAGTACTTCAGTATTTTTTTTTTATTACTGTATTTGGAGAAATATTTATTTTACTTATATTGTCCCAAAGTAACAGCACTTTTACTTGAGGGTTTTTTTTTTTGTTTTTTGTTTTTTTTGCTACAACCCATCTTTGACTCTTCGTTTTTTCTTGAATTATGGTCTGAAATTTGAGATGAGTTATTTTCATGTATTCACAATTTGCTCTGTCAAACCTATTCCAGTATTTACTAACCAATTCATGGTATTTACCTCGAACACTGAAGCATACATAATACTGTATGCATGGTTTCCAATCCATTACCTTAAATGAGGGGCGTCAAACTTATTTTTGTCGCGGGCCATTTTGGAATTATGTCTTCCCTCGGAAGGCCGTGACAACAGTGAAACCAAATAAATGTTTAATCGTCTCGTCGTCTTAGTACTTGCACACAACAAATTGATGGATTACTAGTTTTGAAATCAGTCAACTATAATAGTTTCAATTATTGTTCAAGTGAGTGGAAACAGGGGAAAGAAAGTATTGAAAAATCTCAATGTTATTTATTACCCATGACAAATTGACATTTCAGTACAGATTTTAGCAAGGATCATGAAAGTTGACACACATGATTTACTGTCACGTGCTACATAAAATAACATGGCGGGAAAGATCTGGGTCCCAGGCCTTGAGTTTGACACCTATGCCTAAAACACATGCAGTCTCAGTGGCACTGCAAGTTTATGACCTTTTCTCAAGGGACAAATGGTCCTCATATCGGCGGACAGATCACATCTCGGAAGGCCAGGTCTCCATTTCAGAGTCAAACACACACGCATGCACACACACCTGCATGTGAGGTATTCCTCTGATAGACCTAATAGTCTCCAGTGCGCTGAAGATAAGACCCTAAATCACCGTGACAGGACAGATTAACACACAGGTCTTAAACGTGAGTGGTACCAGTCAAAGGTCAATATACATGCTCTCACACGGCAGTGTAAACCAGACAAAGTGTGTCTTCTTGTGGATGCTCTCAAAACATCACCAACATTTTCTAGCTTCACACAGTTTACACTGGATGCTGTTTTGGAGCTTCCAAATGGAAACGTATCCACATTGAATGTTTGAGTTGGCTCAGAACTAAATTGTAAAACAGCAATAATCATCATCATCACCAACATCCCACACCTAACATCACAAAAAAAATTAGGCTGTCCGATCAGACCCCATTTGACACTGATCGCGGCACGTTTCTCTTGTTAATGCCCATTGCCGAGTTTCCCTGGTGTTTGCCGCTACCTGCTGGAAAAAAAAAGTATGTGTTGACAGTTGAATTCCAGGACCATTTAAGCCTCTTCTTACAATAGTGAAGCTGCAAAGAAAAAAACATAGTTTTGAAAGACTACGGAAATGCACAATGCTAAAACCTGCTTGAAACAATAAATTGCAACTACAACCCCGTCTGCAAACCCTACCAATGCACTGAAAAATTGTGTGTTGAATATACTCAATCTGATTCTGTGAAGCGGTTGCACAAAATCAGATCACCTAGATCTAGAGCCATTTCATAAGTACACTACAACTCAAAAATGTATTCGGATCCAGATACATTTATTTCAAGCAAATTGATGAAATAAAATTTAATACATTCAACACACAACGTTTTTTTCCAGCGCGTCTTGAAACTCTAATTTGAAATCATAACCCTGTCTTGAAATCCAAAAACCTGCCTGAAACCCTCATTTGCATTGGCAACCTCTGCCCTGTCTGGAAACCCTTAAACGGCTCAAAAGGTGATTTTGAAACTCTGACTTTAGTTTGAAAATATCTTGAACACCTAACTCTGCACTGTAACTCTAATTTGAAACCCAAACTAAAATTTCAATCCCTAATTTTAAATCCATAATCCAGTTTTGTAACCCTAATTTGGAGCCCAAACACTGTGTGAAACCTTACTTGAAACTCCCGATCCTGTCTTGAAACCCTAATTTTGAACAGCTACCTTTTCCTTGCAAACCTATCTGTGATTTGAAACCCGGAACCTGTTTTCAAAGATTGATTTAAAAGCTTCATCTTGATTTCGAGTCTACTGTAAACTGGCCAGAGTCCAACGGACGTTCCTTAGCGCTCAAACAGCAAACATTTCGTTTACATTTTTGAAAAGGTGAATTTCGCAAGGGTTGGTGAGCGCTGCTGGGCGGAACTTTAACTTTGAAGAGGTGGTGCAAAGCGGAAGGGTGAACATTCTGTGTAACGCCGAACGGAAGACGCGTGCAAGTAAGTCAGTCTCACATTGAGGTCGGTCATTGATCATTTTAGCCCAAGTCAAACCTTTCATGGCTAACCGCGACACTACCAACATTCTACTGCGCGTCTGATGGATGGATCCCGTATAATTTATTGTGAGTTTTTGCAATATATCGTCTATTCGGAGGTTACATTGGGGTTAGCATTACCAACAATTCCGGGAAACTCAACCTGTACTTCGATGTCCATCGGTTTACTTAACGACATAAAAGCAGGCTCGTCCCCTCCCTCCATCAACATCTTGCTTCAGATGTCTTAACTGTCATACCGTGTTGGTTGTTGTTGGTTTTAGTGACGCTACAGGACGTCAGGAATTTGCTTGGATGTAGTGGATTGTTGCGCGTTTGCTTGACGGCCTACCCTAAATGATGTACCCTTCACAGGACAACGACATGGCAGCCTTGTTCCTGACGACTTGACCTGTTCATACCCTCCAATGATGTTTGCGTCAAAATTCCTACCTCGTCTGCGTGTTGTTCACAGGGCAACTCGTAAGTATGAGCACGTTTTTTTTTTCGATGTCATGCGGTGCACTGCAAACCCCTGCATATTCACATTTGTATGTGCACCGACGTATCCCCAATGAAAAACTCTGCGAGTCAGAGTTTTTGCGCCCTTTCTATATCGCCCAAGTTGCTGACTAAGCCCTGTCGAAGTAGGATTTGTGTCAGGTATGTTAATGTAACGCATCTCCACCGAGAGACGAGCATGTGCACTTCCTGTGCATTTTTCAGAGGCAATTAATTTGTAAGAGTAATGTAAAGGGAAACTTGCGATCAACTAATCAGGGTAATAGAAAAGTCGTGTTTTGCCTCCATCTTGTGGCATCTGTAGGGAACACGACAGATTTCTTTCGGGTGGAGTGTGAATTCAAGGATTTTGGATTTTCATGGCAGGGCATGTCGCAATTCCCCACTTCGTCATGATCTTAGTTGTACTTTGTGGTGGCAAAAGTTCTCATTAACCCACTAGTCAACAAACTTGCATGTGCTTTGACCAAGGTAGAGGAATTCGGAAAACAGGGGTATCAGGGTTTTTGCTTTTGTCTTTAATGTCATCATTTGAATGTGTAAAGTGTCAACGGAAAAGATGTCACGTGAGGGCAATTGCTTGCAGCTAGCAACGCGTTTAGTCGGGGTGTCAATTCCTTGCAGATCTTCACTATTCACAGCAGACCTGTATGGGGGTGTGACTGTATTCGGATGTGTCCATGATGTGTGGTGTGCTTTCCTCATGACTAGGTTGCCATGGAGACATTGTAAGTGGACGTGCGCAGCCAGCAGTTGCTGCATCCATCTGGTCACTCAATGCAAAGCCACGACGCTACTCCACAGCAGCCGACAACCGTTATCCACCTCGGTGGGTGCAACTGGAGCCGGAGCTTGACGATGCACTCGTGCCCCGTAAACTGTCAGTCAGTCCTCTGGAAACGTGGCTCTCGCTGCGCTACTCTCTTCCTCCACTGCCGGGGTCGGCTCCGCTGCAACATGAGCGGGGGGAGCTGCCGGAAGAGAAGGTGCTGCCGCCTGTTTGTCTACCTGTTGTTGAAGATGGCGACCGCACGACAACGCCCCTAAGTTGCAAAAATGTGCTGGAGATCCGACGACGCAAAATGAACCGGCACAAATACAAGAAGCTGTTAAAACGGACAAAATTCCTGAGGAGACGAGTGCAGGAGAGCAGGGGCAGGAGGAAACAGGTATGTTGTCACCTTCACTCTCTGATCAGATCAGAATAGACGTTGCTTCATGTTGTGTTTGCTGATCCCCCTGTTGCATCCTCACAGTGGTTGTTAAAAGTCTACACACCCCTCTTTGAATGCAGGTTTTTGTAACATAAAAAATGAGACCAGAGTAAATGTTTTCAGATCTTTTTACAGCACTAACATTCAGTTTTTTAAATCCTTTTTGAGAGGGAAAGGAAAAGTCGCCTGAATTAATGTTGTCAAGTGTTCACTCACTGTCATAAGTGGGGATGTGGCAGCGTTCAGAATAAACCAGTCACATTGAAACTCATGTAAAAATGTTGTCAGCACCCAACTGCTACCATTTAAAGGGCTTATAACTAACATCATATCAAGCTGGGATGTCCTAGCATTTTTTCTGGTCGCTTCAGTGTGCTTCCACAGCATCAGAGGGATCTTACTGTTCAAAGGTACGGATCAGTCAGCAGAAGGTTACAAGAGAACTTCCATAACATTACATTAAAAAAGAGGGAGGGGGGGGGGAGAGAGAGAGCGAGAGAGAGAGAGAGAGAGAGAGAGAGA